AAGAAATGGTCAAATATTAGTGCTTTAATGTCAAGTTTAACACTGTAAAACCAAGATGAGTCTAAAATATTAAATGTTTCTTTGGCCCGATTTTTAATAACCATCTAATTAGAACTAAGAGACTGGCAAATTTAGCTAATTTAGTTTAACAATGAACACATCATCTTAAAAGTATTCTATACCTCAAGCTTATTTTTTGGTCTTTTTCTGTCATTTTTATACCCCCATTGAAAGACGAGCATATTACTGTATAGTCTCTGTCCATCCGTATGAACAAAATCTTTCTCTTGTCCAGCGCATAACTCCTGATCCACTCAACATGATTTTTCATCAGCCCAACTCCAAAGTCAAGGTCACAAATGAAGATCAACATTTTTTTCAAGCTCTTTGCTTGCTTGAGTATTGTTTAATGATAGTTTATCAACAGGCGTATAATATGCCACGTGCAGTACTTTTGTTCTTCTTCTTCAGTGTCTTCATTCATCAACCATTTCCTATTGTAGACTTAACTACGAATAAATTCAGTTTAGAGGAAAATTGAAATGTATTTTTCTTCCTCACATTTTTTAGACAGAATTTAAATTGTTTATTTTTTATGTCTGACAGCAGGTTTGTTTCTAGTGCCATATGCCTAAACAGTCACCGCTCTTGTGTTTTGCATAAACTTTTTTGAAACTTGAAATTGCTCTGATTACAAAACATAATCATCATTTTCAAAAAAATATAAATTCTAAAAGGCCTATTATGATATCTGCTAATCTTTGTTTTCTTGCTAGATCAAATGTTTTCCTGAAGGTGCCAGACAAGCATTTCAATATGACATTTGAATTTGTGGGGACTGTACAGGCTTACATGACCTTTCACCCTGAAACTACCTAAACATAAAGTAATGTCAAAGTCAAAAGTCAAAGTTTCTTTATTTGTCATGTCATGTTCTTTATTTGTCATACGCACCACATGTGGTACATGTGGTGGAACTAAATTGTGTACACAGGGTCCCATCCAGCCCACAAAAGTATAAATTGTAAAGAAAAACAGTAATAAGATCTAAGATATGAACTAAGAAAAACGTTAAACTAAGAATACACTAAGCACTAACAGTACAAAAACAATATGCTGAACAACAGCAGCACGAACATGAGTCTGTGTGAGCAGATATGTACGAATGAACACAGCAGCGTGGAATACATCAGCAGCATAAGATCAGCAGCATGGATAGTCAGCAGCACATATCAACAATCAAGTGGCATTACAGTGATTTTTTTCTTCACAGTGATTATCGTGGTTAGAGATTCATGAGTCTAACAGCTTCAGGGTAGAAGCTGTTCCTCAGTCTAGTGGTTCTACACTTAATGCTCCTCAACCTCCTGCCTGAGAATGTCCTCACTCTTCTGCATTTGTTTTTACCAAACAGGTGGAACAGAACAAACACCCAGCCTTCATAACATTCATCCATTCATTCAACCTTTATTTAGACAGGTTGAAAGATTTCTGTAAACCAGTCGAGCCAACCATTCACCATTTCACACTTTCAGTCCCTAAAACCGTCTTAGTTCTAAAGGCCTGAGGGAAAAAACGTCATGTAAAACATAAAGCCATTAAAAATAAGAAATTTAAAAAAGAGAAATAGACACAAAGGACAAGAAGAGAGAGAGAGTGGTGAAACACAATACTAGGACAGGCAGTAGATTAAGCTCAGCAGATGCACAGTTATTGCCTGTGACAGCATCTTGTACATTAACATATGCATGATGTAGTGGATCCTGCAGGACACGCACACTGGAAATGAAGATAATCTCCCAAACTACTCGGTGAATCCGCCTTTTATTTCCTCGAGGATTTTCAGCTCAGGGGAGTTTTCTCCGCATCTGTTCCCTCTGTTTATGTTTCATTCTCCGTTAATTTCTCAAGAACTTTCTAAAAAAAAAGCAATGCAAATTTCAGTAGGTTATTTTTATATGCAGTACCTAACACAGAGACAGAAACAGCACATATAAAATTGAACAGAGCTGCCTTGAAATCCATTTGTCACAGTGGATTTGTTATCAGGGGCTCCTTAACCAGAGGCAATGAGGTGACTCAGTTTGACCACACTGAAGAAAAACATTTGTTAGATTGATACCCTGCCTCGTGCACAACTCCAGATGGCAGGATATATTCCATTTATTTTCAATCAATAATGTATTGTTACTTGACAATAAAAAGTTAGATTAGTGCACAGTATTGAAAATAAACAAGTTCACACAGATGTAATGTCACATCCACAACCATGATGGAATAATGTGAATTTTAGGTCAAATGTTTTCCAACATGTCTCTGTTCTCAACTGAAGCAAGGACGTAGTGTTTCTTGATGATCACAGTATTGTAGAGATGTCACCAACAGAAATGTTGGTGGAAAAAAGACCATCAGACAATGTCATCAGTGCTAATAGATGTTAGGACCCTGTCTCACTATAATGCTTCAGACAAGTCATGCCAGTGTATGAGCATTTTGTCTAACACACTTCCATATGCTAAGGATGGAAAAAATACCTCAACTAAGCCTCTTTTGGACATGTACATACTGTATTTCTAATGAGTTGAACAAGTATGTAAACTGTATCCTGGTGCATGCTCAATAATTCAGGTTGACAAATCTAAAAAAGTTAAGTCTGGTCCTCTGGACATTCTAAAAAAAAAATATATATATATATAGAAACGTTTCGTCTTTCATCCGAAACTGAAGAAGTCTTTCAGATGAAAGACGAAACATTTCTACAATTTTTCTGTTTTGTTTTTTGAATGTCCAGAGGACCAGACTTAACTTTTTGTAGAAGTATGTAACCTGGTTAACAATTGAGTAACTTATCCATGACTTGTCTCTATCTGATACTTAACTTATACAAGCGTATGACAGTGTTTTTGTGACTCTCCTCCACATCTCCATGTTCCTCCCATTTCTTCTAAATACACACCTCTTACACACTTAGCTCTCCCTCCTCTTTGGGACCTGGGAATTTTAAGGCACAGATATATTACAATACGTTGTGGAAATGTTTGATATAAGTTACAGATATGTAAGAAGTTGCTCATAGGTAGAAAGGTTGTAAGCTCAATCGATCAGGGAAATAACAACAAAAAAGGTTAAATCGTGTCATCTGGAGCGGTTTCTTTAAGTAAGAAACATTTGTCCCCCATCCAGAGGACTTCCTCAGTCTGCGGCCTGCCAACCACATCTGTCCCATAGCTAGCCTTCACTGCTGTGTTTCAAGCCAACCTCCTGTTGGAATCTGAAAAGTAGGCTTTTAACACAAAACTGGTCCAGATGACACGATTTAAGCTTTTTTGTTGCTCATAGGTTGGAAATAAGTTCCACAAGTGCCCAACTGGTTTCCACCATATATCAACTAATGAGGAACTTACATGGAACGTGTGAACTTGTGCATAACTTATCTATTACATAGCTGTAGCTTATGCCTAGCATAAAATAACATCAGGGTACGACAATGTACGTCATTGTACATCAATGAGCTGGAAACTTATTCAAAACTTACACTTAACTTATGTGACTTGTCATTTTAGTCATATGTTGAAAGAATATTCATATGTATAGAATCATATGCTGATATAATAGTGTCTTTTGGGGTTGTTTTTTTAGAAAATTGGCACAATTTAAAAACCTGGAGTGTGTTTCGTATAGTTTCAGGGTTTTTTGTGTTAGTCTGTGTGTCATATAAATTATGTTAGACAATAATGAGAACACTGCTAGTCAGAAACATTCAGTTCTCAGTATGGGCTTCACTAGAACTAACAATAATGTTTTCAAAACAGATCATTATTTTACAAAGTATTTCAGAAGTTCTGTTGATGTGATTAAAATGAGCATTTTCAACATCACTGCTGAAAGCTTTAAAGAAACGGCTGCAACTAAAATAGTTATGATTATTCAATGAATGCTGAATAGGTCCATGTATATATATAGATACAAAAGTATTTCCAAGACTTTACATAATAGGGCACACTACAAAAATATCTTATTCATATCTAGGGTAACCCAGTGTATTGTGTAGGACTGCACAACATTGTTCTATATTTTTTCTTGCTAACTGAGATAAAAGTAATATATTGTAACAATGAGAGATTATTCATGTGGGAAATAAAACGAATCCTACTCCATATTTAACTCTACAGGCATCAGTTAATGTGTATTTTGTGAAACAATGTTGGTCAGAAACAGTTTTTGCTGCTAAAGATACTTTACAAGCTCCTGAATCTAAAATAACTGGATAGTTTTGAGAATTTTACAATACTTAACATGTTTGTTTTTCTGTACACAGTGTGCTGATATCATTCACGAATGCATTCACTCCTCTGTTTTACCATTTTGTACATAAAGACCATAGTGGAAAACAAATTAGGGTTAATATGATCAACATATTGTGCTCCATCTATTGAGCTTTTACTTCCACACATGTATTGACATGTTATCGTCTATGGTGATATAAGAGAATGACTGATGAAAATGAGCTGTTTGTCTTGTGTGCAGCCGCTAATAAAGATCAATAGTTTGATGTGATTTCAAAGCAGCCTCTGATTATGTGAGTATCAGTCATTACAGCAGACATCCCACAGTGACATCTGTTTAGATTTGGTCCCTTTAATCATCCGTTGTTGCCTTGACAAGAACAGAGGAAGTCAGATGATGATGTGGTTCAAGGTTATGATGGTTGGGTTTGTTTTCTGTAGTTATTCACAAATGATGTTTATAATTTTGGAAGTGTGTTGATGTTTAGTCAAGAGCAGTTAGTTTCTATCTGAAACCTTTATTGATTTTTTTTTTTATGTTTTCCTTGAAATTTGTTGGGCGTGACACATTTTTACCAATCTGTTCCGATTATAATCACATTTAAACAAGAACTTACACCACATAAGATGTCAGAGCTTAGCAAAAATGCACATTTGACCTTCTCTCTTTACTGCTGTGCCATCACGGATGTACTTTTTGTTGTGTTGCTGTAGGTCTCGGCTCGCTGATTTCCACATGAACTGTCAGATGACGCCTCACACCGTCACCAGCTGCCCTCATGACAACTACAACGGCTGCCTCATGTCCTACGTCGGCCTCATCGGTATGTCTGGCAGCTTTAATTTACGTTTTTCTGACGGTGCGGGTCAAATAATGAGCAGGACGACAAGACTGAAGACAGACTGTTCTCTGTTTTCTGAACCCAAACGACTCGAATAAAAAGCAGCTTATGAAATATTTACCTATTTAAGTGAATATTATGAGGTATTTAGTCAAGAATCAGGACGTTGTATTTCAGCACATTTTAGCCTGAATGCAGACTACAGGGCTCCTGAGGTGTACAAATGTAACTAATGTTGGAGAAATGTAAATTTATGCTCAAATTACCATTTTAACATTTACAGCAAAAGTAATTTTATTCCTGTTTACAAGCTGGATTTTATCAGCCTTATTCCTCAGCCATTATTAGAGTCTTTAGTTGAGGAGTTGGAGAAACACATTGCAGGTGACTACTTTCTTCTCTGGAAATCATTTGAATTCCCCCTCCGTCACTCTATTTGTCTCATCTCAGGCTCAGATGTGACGCCAAACTACAGCGACAACAGCCCCACCAACATCACCATCAGCCTCTGGTGCGCCTGCAAGGGTGCCAGTCATCAGGAGGAGTGTGACGCCTTCCACCGTGACTTTACCCACAACACCTGCCTCAGTAAGTCCTGCATCTCTTCCCAAGACCAACGTTAGAGACACAGACGAAAAAAGATTAGAAGAAATAAATCCTCTGAAGTAGGCCAAGGTCAGAATAGCAGTCAGCTCACAGCGACTCTTAGTAGCTAATGATTAATTTGTTTATCAGTTATTCTGCGGATTACTTCTGAATTTAGTAGGAAAATAATAAATCATTTGACTTTTTGTTAATCAAGTTGACAACACGTGCTCTGCTCTAAGTGCTCAAGGTGAACCCAGACCAACTGGTAAGAGTACATATGTATGAATCATATTTGTAATAAAATTATTTCTGCTGGGCAGAATTTAAACATATTTGTAATTTACTGCACAATTATGCAACTTGTGATTTAAAAGGGATTTGTCCTTACAGTTTTCTTTTACCCCCCCCCCCCCCCCCCCCGTGACTCATAATTTCCCTAATTCAGTTCTGATTCTGTTCACTAAGATATGACAACAAAACAAACAAACGTTAAAAAATATCCTGTGCCAGTGGGGTGCAAAATAGTTCAGTTCTTAATTCTTTAAAACTCTTCTAAAAGGTAAATAAAATAATAATTGCGCTCAAGTAAAAAAAAAAAAATCTAGAATTACACAAAAAATGTAATAATAATAATAAAGCACTACTTTAATTTACACCTAAATTTGAATACCGAAAAATACTGAATGCAAAACAAAACTTCAACAATAATAATAAAATAATATATGTACTCACAGTAGTCCCTCGCTTATCGCGGGGGTTCCGTACCCTGAAGCCCCGCGATTAGTGAAAAACCACAAAGTAGAAATAGTATTACAAGTATTACAAGTAGTAATTAGTCGTTTATTTTAGTATATATATATATATATATATATATATATATATATATATATATATATGTATATATATATATATATACATCCACTGCCTGGCCAAAAATAGTCGTCACCTGGATTTAACTCAGCAAATAGGTAGGAGCCTCCTATTGGATAATTACTGCGTGGGTGATTATCTTTCAGCTGCAACAAGTTATTTAACTCCAACTGGTGCAATGAGTTGCTTCTCATTTCTTAAACAACCATGTCAAAAGACACATCGCGTGGTTGTGGAAAATATATCAGTCTATTTGAGAAGGGTCAGTTCATTGGCATGCACCAAGCAGAGACAACATCTAAGGAGATAGCAGAAACTACTAAAATTGGGTTAAGAACTGTCCAACGCATTATTAAAAACTGGAAGGATAGTGGGGGCCCATCGTCTTCGAGGAAGAAATGTGACCGGAAAAAAAAATCCTGAATGATGGTGATCAGCCATCACTTAAATGCTTAATGAAATCAAATTGAAGAAAAACAGCAGTAGCACTCAGGGCCATGTTTAATAGTGAAAGTAAGAACATTTCCACATGCACAATGTGAAGGGAACTCAAGGGATTGGGACTGAACAGCTGTGTAGCCTAAAGAAAACCACTAACCAACGAGGCTAACTGGAAAAAAAGACTTCAATTTGCTAGGGAGCATAAAGATTGGACTCTGGAGCAATGGAAGAAGGTCATGTGGTCTGATGAGTTCAGATTTACCCTGTTCCAGAGTGATGGGTGCATCAGGGTAAGAAGAGAAGCAGGTGAAGTGATGCACCCATCATGTCTAGTGCCTACTGTACAAGCAGTGCTATGATCTGGGGTTGCTGCAGTTGGTCAGGTCTAGGTTCAGCAACAGTATGTGCTCAAAGAATGAGGTCCGCTGACTACCTCAGGTCTTACTTGTAAATGAGTCCTCGAGGCTCAGTGGGATTAACCTGTCTAAATAAAGGTTGAATGAATACCTGAATATACTGAATGACCAGGTTATTCCATCAATAGATTTTTACTTCCCTGGTGGCACGGGCATATTCCAAGATGACAATGCCAGGATTCAATGGGTTCGAATTGTGAAAGAGTGGTTCTGGGAGCATGACGCATCATTTTCACACATGGACTGGCCCCCACAGAGTCCAGACCTTAACCCAATTGAGAATCTTTGGGATGTGTTGGAGAACGCTTTGTGCAGTGGTCAGAACCTGCCCTCATCAATACAAGATCTTGGTGAATAATTAATGCAACACTGGATGGAAATAGATCTTGTGACATTGCAGAAGCTGATCGAAACAATGCCACAGTGAATGCATGCCATTATCAAAGGTAACAGCTGTCCAACGAAATATTAGTGTGTGATCCTTTTTTTGGGGAGGGGGGGCAAGGCAGTGTGTGTGTGTGTGTGTGTGTGTGTAAAGGCATTTTAAACTCTTCCCACACTCCTGCAATATTCTAAACAATGCTTCTAAACTCTAAACGCTCTAAAAGAGTGCAGAATGTCATGATTTCAGCTCTCTGCCTCGGCTGCTTTCTGTCACCTGCCGGCACTCTTGGCCACGCCCACTTCTCCGCTGCAGAGCAGAGATATGACACACTGCAGGAGGAAGCTTCTCCTGCAGCTTTGTGCAGCAGGCGCTAAATATTTTAACATAATTTATTTAAAATAAAAATTCCATGCCGATCGTGCGGCTCATTCATCAATCAGCCAATTATGTGTCATGTCCAATCTTACTTTAAAAAACCGCGATAGAGCGAGTCCATGAAAAACGAACTGCGAAGTAGCGAGGGACTACTGTACTAGATTTTCTTATTAGACAATGAGCTACAGTAGTTAAAGCTTCTCGGCCAAGAGCAGCAGTCTGTTATCACTCTGAGATTTCAGATGTTCCTTGTCAGCAATATTATTGGAACTTTATGGTAATATCAAGCATTTAATTGACCAACAGATAGCACTCCTTTAAAATTCAGTGTGACTTTGCAGTGCTTGCAATGAGCTAATAAAGTGACAGCTTGTGCACGGTGGTCCAAAACTGTTCCAGATGGAAAAAACACTATTAAAGGGCACAAAAAAAGAGTTGTGTCATTGCTGTCACCAGAGATTTTCCACACTGACTACCATTTTCCCTGTGTTGTAACTGCTTCTTCAGTACAGCTACTGCCTCCAGTCAGTGTGGTGTGAAACGGTAATCTAGGAAACACACAGGAAGGGGAATCATCAATATTTAAAACTGTCATCATACATGTGTGAAAACTGAGACTGTGATTTTGATTTTGCCTAGCTTTCTCCCTGTACTTTTTTTGTTTTTTTGGTAATTCATTAAAAAAAAAAATCTCGACCTGATGATCAAAATTTAAACCAAACATTTAGGCATTTGCTTGAAGCCATGCTGAAGGATATAATTGCCTTGTTTTCCAGGTGATCCAACAAATGCCTGTAAATAATCCAAGAAAATTACTAATATTTTCAGTTCCTCATAAATTTTTGGATGTGTAGTGAACTAGGCCTCCGGTCAAACCTGCCTCTGAAGACCTTCATGGGACAGGAACTGTTATTTCATTTATTTGAATCCAGAAATACAAATTAGCTCATCCATAGACTTTCTAATTGTATCCTGAACTAATCAATTGAAAGAGCACTCTCTTTTTCATATTATCATTACTATTTTACAATATCTTGATAATCAAAAGTGTGTTTAGTTCATACCATTTTTAAATGTTGAAGTGAACCACTCATTTTAAATCAACTGTGAAACAGTATTAATGATTTTTTAATCCTCATTCAAAGTAGAAATCAAGTTAAATGTCTATTTTACAAAGTAATTATGCATTTTTGATCTTCTGTCTGAAATGAGAGAGTGATGTCGGTCAAAAGTCGGAGACAGTCGAAAACAAGTTTATTGGAACGAACTGTCGTGTTTTTAAACCTCTCAGACAGAAACAAGAGAACTGGCACCTGTAAGTCTGTCATTTCTCCAAAATATTTTCTTGTCTGTAACTAACCATTCCTAAACATTTCTGATGTTTTCTTGACTTGTAATGACCCTCTGACGTCACTAAAACCACACCCCTGTTGGTTCCTTCAACCAATCAGGACTTCCTAAAAGTGACCAGAAGCAGAACTCTTTAAAAGTCGACACTTCCTAGTTCCATCAGTTAGTTAGTTGGTTCCGTTAGTTCTTCTGGTTCTGATGGAATTCGGTTGGAGTTCCTCAGAGTTCTTCTGAGTCTCTTGGAGTACTGTGGAGTAGTTCTGGAGTTCTGGAGTTTTTCCACTGCTGAGTGGAACTTCGGACTCAGTTTTCCAGGCTGATGGAGTCATCCATCTCTGCAGGAGCCACGACGCCTCGCTGTGGCTCCACCCGGCGAATGCCCTATAACTGCTGAGGAAGTTTGTTCTGTGGAACGGATTATCTCACGACTTCTGCCAAGTCGCAGCCACTCTGAGGAGACGCTGAAAGGTAGCGTGCCAGGGACCTCTTGACCGCAGCTGACCCATTCTCCGCAAAGGTAAAGAGTCATCACTGGCTTCACTACAAGTGTTCCACGGCGAGCTGTGCTTGAAAGGAGCGTGTTGTTCTGGTCTACAGACTTACATCCTCATCCATCTTTTCTCTCCATTTAAACTCCTTCATTTCCCATCTTTAAACTTCTATCTTGCCAGTAATTAATCCAGATATCTTCAGAAATGTCTGTTGTTTTGATTAAGTAAAACGTGCCAAGTTTTATTAATCAGAGCTGATCAGTATAATCAAGTGTACAATGTTTTGATGTTAAATTTTGATTCTGTTAATAAATGACCACATTTATTTTGATGGGTCAAAGAAAATTAACGTCTCATGTCACTGATTAAACCATCGACAACACAGTACCTCTGTCACATATCTGTCAAGTAGCTCGAAAAAGTGAGAACCCGTTATTAAAAATTGACTGTAGTGGAGCTCTGAAGCTAACTGAAGCTAACCTAGCCTTTACATCACTACAGATGTTTATTCATGAATGACACTCATTTCATTCATTAATGGGATTCTGACTATATTAGCAGTTATTGTTAGCTTTTTAATTTTTTTTATTTTTAAACCTTAATGTCTGCTTTATAAAACTACATGAAACAAGTGCTGCCTAAACATCGCATCACTTTCAGTGTTTAAGCCTT